CCCCAAAGTCATTTCCAAAATTCCCCAAAACCCCTGAAAAATCCCAAAAGTCCCACAAAAAATCCTCAAAATTCCCCAAAAAATCCCCCGAAAAATCACTTTTAAATGCCCCAAACCCCCCAAATCCCTCCCAAAATTCCCACCAAACCCAAAAACATTCTCCAAAAATTTTGCATTTCGCCCACAAAAAAAATCTCATTTCAAGCTCCAGAACTCCCCTGGACCCCCCAAAATTCCCTCAAATCCCCTCCAAAAATCAAAAAAGATCCCCAAAATCCAAAAAAATCCCTTAAAATTCCTGAAAATTCCCCAAAAATCCCAAAATTTCCCCAAAATGTCCCCAAATCTGAGGGAACCTCCCCAAATTTTGGGTTCCCCACCCCAAATCTGACCCCAATTCCCCCTCAGGTTTTGGGTCACCCTCACCTCCAGCTCCTGCAGGTGCCCGTACCTGAGCCCCGAGTTAAGGAACAATTTGGGGATCCCCCAAAAATCTCCCCTTCAATTTAAGGTTGAACCCCCAAATTTGGGAACCCCCACCCCAGATTTTGGGGTTTCCAGAATTTTCTATCCGAGGAACCCCCAAAATTTTTGAGGATCCCCAAAATTTCGGATACAAGCGCAGATTTCCTCGGATCTTCTTCACGTTCCTGTGGGGACACCCCAAAAATTCTGTGAGGGGAGAACCGGGAAAAAGAGCGGGAAAAGCGGCGCGGGGCATGATGGGAGCTGTAGTTCAGGGGAGTGGGGCCTGCAATGATGCTCTATGGGCGGCGCGGGGGCGTGATGGGACCTGTTTGCCGGCTATAATGAAAATCAATGGGGCGTGGGGCATGATGGGAGTTGTAGGTTTGGCTATAATTGAACTCACTGGGGCGCGGGGGATGATGGGAGCTGTAGGCTTGGCTATAATGGAACTCAGTGGGGCGCGGGGGATGATGGGAGCTGTAGGCTTGGCTATAATGGAACTCAGTGGGGCGCGGGGGATGATGGGAGCTGTAGGCCCGGAAAGCATCTCCCCCTCCTTCCCCTTAAATTTTGGGGCCCCCTTTCAATTTTTGGGGCTTTTCACTCTCCCCAATGTTGGGGTCCCCCCTCACCGCTGGTTCCGGACGTGGCGGATGACGTAATCCCAAATGGGGGCTGCGGGGCCGGAGCAGAGCCTGCAGGGGAGGGAATTGGGGCACCCCAACATTTGGGGGTGACCATAAAATTCACCCAGGAACCCGAAAATCACCCCCAGGAACCCCCAAATCCACTCAGGATGCCCTAAAAGGGACCCCAAAAGGACCCCTCAGGACCCCCCAAAGGGACCCCAAAATCCCCACAGGACCCCCCGAAACCTCCCAAGGGACCCTTCAAGGGGACCCCAAATTCTCCAGGACCTCCTAAAGGACCCCAAAAGCATCCCCAGGACCCTCCAAAGGGACCCCAAAACCCCCCAGAACTCTCCAAAAGATCCCAAAATCTCCTCAGGACCTCCCCAAACCTCCCCATTACCCTCCAAGGGGACACCAAAATACCCCCAGGACCCCCCAAAACTTCTCAGGACCCTCCAAAGAGACCGCAAAACCACCTCAGGACCCCCAAACCCACCCAGGGCCCTCTAAAGGGACCCCAAAATCCCCTCAGGACTCTCAGGAGGACCCCAAAATCCCCCAAGGACCCCTCAAAAGGACCCCAAAACTCACACAGGACCACCCAAAAGGACCCCAAAATCCCCCCAGCACCCCTAAACCCCCTCAGGACCCTCCAAGAGGACGCAAAATTCACTCAGGACCCCTAAAACCCCCTCAGGACCCTCCAAGGGGACCCCAAAACGCCCCAGAATGTTTCATAGGGACCCCAAAATCCCTTCAGGACCCCCAAAATTCCTCCAGGACCCTCCAAGGGGACTCCCAAACCCTTCCAGGACCTTCTAAAGGAACTCCAAAACCTCCCCAGTACTCTCCAAAGGGACCCCGAAACCTCCCATTACTCTCCAGAGGGAGCCCAAAACCTCCCAGTACTCTCCAGAGGGAGCCCAAAATCCCCCCAGGACCCCCCAAAACCTCTCAGGACCCTCCAAGGGGACCCCAAACCTCCTCAGCCCCCCCCCACATTCCCGCTCTCCCCTCACGGAGCCCTCGGGGGGTTCCCACCCCCGGAAGCCCGAAACCCCCCGGCCCCTCCCCGCCTCAGGGGGGTCCCCATGGGGGTCCCCGGCTGGTCCCGACCTGCGGAGCGCGGCCGGGGAGGGGATGGCGGAGGGCGGCAGCTCCATCTCCTCCCGGAGCCACCGCTCCAGCGCCTCCGCCATCATGGCCGGGGGGCGCTGAGGAGAGCGAAAAACCGCGGGAAAAGCGCCGCGGGGCAGCAGGGGAGTTGTAGTGCGGGAGGGGCGGGGCATGCAATGATGGGCTATGGGAGGCGCGAGGCATGACGGGAGTTGTAGGCGAGTAACTGGGGCGCTGTGGTGCGCGAGGCATGATGGGAGTTGTAGGCGTGGCTTTAATGATTCTCTATGGGGCGCGGGGCCTGATGGGAGTTGCATGCACACCTGTAATGGGGCTCTATGGGTTATAATGATTCTCTATGGGACTCTATGGGTTATAATGATTCTCTATGGGGCGCGGGGGCTGAGGGGAGTTGTATGCGTGTTTGTAATGGAACTCAATAGGCGTCGCGGGGCATGATGGGAGCTGTAAGCCAGGAAGTTTGTCGATGGGGAAACTTGGGGGTCTGGGGGCACTTGGGGGTCCTAAGGGCCACTTATGGGTCAGAGGAGCCATTTAAGGGACACTTAAAAGGCACCCGAGGGGAACTTTGGGTCTGAGGGCACTCAGGGTCACCTGGTGAGCTGGATCCTGGCTTTACCTGGCCTCTGTGGGGCGCGGGGGATGATGGGAGTTGTAGGCTCTGGGCAGCATGGGAATTGTAGGCGTAGACTGAGGGTCTGTGGGGAGGGGGGAGGTTTAGGTGGGGCACCTGGGAGTCCGTGAGGGCACTCGGAGGTCCTGAGTGGGGGCTGAGAGATCACTTAGGAATCCTGGGAGGCACTTGGGGGTCCGGGGGAGCAACTGAGGAGCAACTTTGGGTTTGGGGGGAAATTTGGGGGCGTGTACCGGGCACTCTGTGTGGCTGCGTGGCATGACGGGAGGTGTAGGCCGGGCTTCCTTTAGACTCTATGGGGCCGCGGAGCATGAAGGGAATTGTAAGCCAGCCATCAATACTTACGTGTAGTGCCGCAGGGCATGACGGGAGTCGTTGGCCCCGTTTCAATGGCGCTCTAAGAGGCCGCGAGGCATGCTGGGACCTGGAGTCCAGCGTTTAATAGCTCAGTTTTCTGCCGCAAGGCATGACGGGAATTGTAGTCGAAAAAAGCCAAAATGGCGCAGCCTTTAGATATCGCCTTCAAGGCCGCTGATTGGTTGCAAGCTATGATTGACAGGCAGGTCGACCAGTGGGAGGTGGCGCCGACGGAAGGCGGGAAGCGGCAGCTCCTGAGGGCGGCGGTGAGAGGGGGGCGCGGATTTTGGGGGGATTTGAGGCGATTTTGGGGCATTTTGGGGGATTTTTGGGATCCCTCACGAGCCTCTCACCCCTGCCAGGCCCCAGGGACGCGTCCGGAGCCGTGATGGCCGCCAAGGTGAAGGTGGAGAAACCAGGTGAGCTCGGCCGGGAGCCCCAAAAACCCCAAAAACCGCCCAAAAAACCCCAAAATTCCACAAAAATCCCACTCGGGACCCCCCAAAACCCCTCAAATTCCCTCAGAAAGCGCCGAAATGCCAAAAGATTTCCCGAATATATCCCAAAACAACACAAATCCTCCCCAAAATTTCCAAAATATTCCCAGAATTCCCCAAATTCCTCCCAGATTCGTCCAGAACCCCCAAATGCCCCACAATTCTCAAAATTTTCTCCCAAATTTCTTAAAAATTCCTCACAGGACCCTGAAAATTCACCAAATTCCCAGAGCTGGACCCAAAAATGCCCAAAAATTCCCCAAAATTCCGAATTTTTTCCAGTGCTGAACACCAAAATTCCTTAAAATTCCCCCAAAATCCCAATTAAAACCCAAAATACCCTCAAAATTCTCATTTGAATCCCCCAAAACCCCAACGAAACCCCAAAAATTCCATTTAAACCCCAAAAATCCTTTTAAGACCCCAAAATTGCCCCAAAAATTCCCCATATCCCCTCAAAATTCCCATTTCAATCCCTCAACCTTCATTTTAAACCCTAAAATTTCTTCTTTAAACCCCCAAATCCCCTCCAGGATCCCCCAAATTTAAAAGAATCCCTCAAAAATCCCAAATTTCCATGAACTTGTCCCCCAAATTCCCCTCATATTCCAAAAAATCCCCAAAATTTTCCCAAAAATTCTCTAAAAATTGCCCAAATGCCCTCCAGAATCCCCCAAGTTTAAAAATAATTCTCAAAAATCCTCAAAATTTCTGAATTTCCCAGAACTGGACCCCCAAATTCTTCCCAAATTCCCAAAAGTTCTCCCCAAAATTCTCAGTTATTCCCCAGATTTCCCCAAAACTGCCCCAAATCCATTCCAGGACCCCCAAATTGCCAAAAATTCCCCCAAAATTCCAAAAGTCTCCAGTATTCCCAGAGCTGGACACCCCAAAGCCCCAAGACTCCACAAAATCCCCCAAAACTCCCCCCAAACGCCTTCCAATATTCCTAAAACTTCCCCAAAAAATCCCAAATTTCCACCAATTTCCCTAAGATTCCCCCAAAAATGCCCAATTTCCCATTTCAGTCCCTCAAAATTCCCATTTTAACCCCAAAATTCCCCCAAATCCCCTCCAGGACCCCCAAATATCCCCCCAAATTCCCTAAAATCTCTTCCACCATTCCCAAAACATCAAACAAAATCCCCAAAATTTTCCCATTTCAACCCCAAAAAATCTCCCAGAAACCCCAAAATTCCCAAAAAGTCCCAAAAATTCCCCCAAGTTCCCATTTCAACCCCCATAAATCCCCAAAATTCCCAGAGCTGGAGCCCAAATTCCCGAAAATTCCCCCAAAACTCCCCCAAATTCCTTTCCTCATTCTCAAAAATCCTGCAAAATTCCCAAAAATCACCCGAACTCCCCCCAAATTTCTTCAAAAAATCCCCCAAATCCCTTCCAACATTCCCAAAACATCCCCAAAATTCCCATTTCAATCCCAAAATCCCCCTAAAAATTCCCAGAATCCTCCCAAATTCCCCCAAAATTTTTCAAATCTCCCCAAATTCCCCCAATGTACCCAAAAAATCCCCCAAATTCCCCCAAAAATTTCCATTTCAACCCCCAAAAATTCCCATTTCAACTCCCAACCCCTCCATTCCCCCAAAATTCCCAAAAATTCCCCTCAAAACCCCCAAACCCCCTCAGCATTTCCCCAAATCCCCCCCAAGTCCCACAAAATTCCCAAAAATTCCCATTGCAACCCCAAAAATGCCCCAAAAGTTCCTAAAATTTCCCAGAATTTTCCCAAAACTCTTCAAACTTTCCACAAATCTCCCTGAAATGCCTTCCAATATTTAAAAGAATCCCCAAAATTCCCCAAGAAATCCCAAAATTTCCTCAAAAATCCCCTTGTTCCCTGAGCTGGGGCCGTTTGGAGGCCCCAAAATCCCCCAAACTGCACCAAAATTCCTTCCAAAATGTCAAGAAAACCCCACAAAACTTCCCCAAAGTCCTTTAAGAATTGCAATTTAAACCCCAAAAGTTCCCATTTCAACACCATAAAACCCCCTTAAAATCCCAAAACCTCCCCTAAAACTTCCCCAAATCCAAAAAATCCCCGAATTTCCGCAAATTTCCTAAAAAAACTTTAAATTTCCCAGAGCTCTGCCCTGGAGCTGCTCAGCACCACCTGGAGCCCCCAAATCTCCTCAAAATTCCTCAAAATTCCCAGAAAATCCCAAAATCCCTAAAAAATGTCTTCCAAAATCCAAAAAAAATCCCAAAACATCCCAAATTTTCCCCCCAAATATCCCTATTCATGCCACAAAATTTTCAAAAACTCCCCAAAATTTCCCCCAAAAATCCCATTTCAAACCCCAAAACTCCCCCTAAAAATCACCCAAACCCCGAAAGTGCCCCAAAACTGTCCAAAATCTCAAACAAAATTCCCAAAAATCCCCAAAAATGCCAGAAATTCCCCAAATTTTCCACAAATTTTCCCTAGTTTCCCCAATTTCCTAGAGCTGTCCACCGGTGCTGCCCGGCGCCGCCTGGAGCCCCCAAATGTCCTAAAAATTCCCCCAATTTTCCCAAAATGCCCCAAATGCCCCCAAAATCCCCCCAGAATTTCTTCCAAAAATCCCCCAATTCCTTCCAACATTCCCCAAAATTCCCATTTCAAACCCCAAAATCCCCAAAAATTCTGTGGAGAGTCAGGGCTGTGTGTGCAGCAGGAATGGGGCTGTACGGTCAGTCAGGGCTGTGTACAGCAGGAATGGGGCTGTACGGTCAGTCAGGGATCTGTGTGTGTGTGTGGCAGGAATGGGGCTGTACGGTCAGTCAGGGATCTGTGTGTGCAGCAGGAATGGGGCTGTACGGTCAGTCAGGGCTGTGTGTGTACAGCAGGAATGGGGCTGTACGGTCAGTCAGGTCTGTGTACAGCAGGAATGGGGCTGTACTGTGAGTCAGGGATCTGTGTGTGTGCAGCAGGAATGGGGCTGTACGGTCAGTCAGGGCTGTGTGTGCAGCAGGAATGGGGCTGTACGGTCAGTCAGGGCTGTGTACAGCAGGAATGGGGCTGTACGGTCAGTCAGGGCTGTGTGTGCAGCAGGAATGGGGCTGTACGGTCAGTCAGGACACCCCCCCTCTGCAGTCAGACCTTTGCTCCGTGCCTGGCTGCACCCAGCCGGACGTGAGCAGAAGGAAATGACACTGACTGCCCAAGCCATAAAAACCCCGGTGACCCCTCAATAAACGCCATTTGCTGTCCACCACGTTGGTGTCAGGAGCATATGGACCGAGTGACCCTGGGCTTTGGGCCACCGTGCCGGAGTGAGAACCAGGTCGCCAAGCCTTGAGAAGGCAGCAGTCATGCATGATACACCATGAGAAAAAAAGGCATATATTATTAGAACAGCATCTGAGTTTTTCAGAGGAGGAGAGATTCATTGACGTCCCAGCAGTCAAACCTGTTCAAATACTTTCCTCAGGGCTTCCTTGAGATGAGAGGTGACCAGCAGAGGCCAAGGCCAGCCAGAGCTCTTTGTCCTGGCAGCTTTTGCCTGGGAGAACCCTTGCAGATAGGGAATTTTTCAGGGGGAGTATCAGTTTTGGCTGTGGGCACCTGGAAAGAGGGA